TAATTGAAGGGGATTGTAATTGAAGGGAAAGCCGTTAGAACAGAGCCCATAACACCGAGACCGGGGTGATCAGTTGAAAAACTTGACAAGAGCGAAAGAGAAAATGGATAAAAAATGCAAAAAAAGAGAAAACGCAGCCCACCTGTACAACAATATCACTACGCTCCACAACTCTCCAGAGTTCTCTCCACATATCAGGATTCCTTTCGAATGGCGTGAGCGCCACACCGTCATTCTAAAAACAACGAACCTGTTTAAGCAAGTGAAGACAAAGCTATGAGATGGGACCAGTGTCGCCAATAAGCAAACCTCTTGGAGCTCAGCTAAATCCGACCTCCACTTCAGAAAACTTTCGTTTTCTAATCGTGTAAGTTCCTCAGCCGTATTATAGAGTTCTCGTGCCGGTCTTCTGGGGATCTTCAACCTATGCTCAAGCTGTCGCTGAAGCTCGAGATTGTTTTCGTAGTCAATACGAGAAGGAACCACCAATGGCGTGTCTCTGAAAAAGGTGATCATAAACAAAGCTGAACAGGTCGAACGTGAACATTCATCAACAGAGACGAATGTGTCAACATGGAGAAGCCAACGCCATCACTGAGCTTCTACATGAGTTTGAAAACCCAGCTTGATGGCTGCCCACAAAGTGGAAAAAACTGCATGAATGACGCAATCAAATACTCACTAACTTCTCGATAACGCGGAACTGCTGTCGTTCAGCAGTAAATTCAGTGCCAGCCAATTCTGCTTTTGCTAGAAATTCTTCCAAGCTTGTTTCGTCGGTGATTGAATCAATATATTTATTGGCCTCCTTAAAAGCTTCAATGTGCTGGTAAAGAATACGAAGGAAAGAACCATACACTTACAACATCCATGAAGGCAGGGTTTTCTATCTCTTCTCCATCATATTTCGACCGCTGATGAGCTTGCCGAACTCTAACTCGCTCATTCAGAAGCGAGTTCCCGAGAGACTTGTTGGCCCCGGTCGGCTTTTTGTTTGACGGACGGCGCTTCGTCATTTTCCAGACTTCACAGAAAATGCAAAATTATTAGAACAAAACCACTCATTCAGGAAGGAATACCTCGTGTACAATGAATTACGATTCCAAGGGATATATTCGAACCGAATGCAAGCTGTAAAACATTGGCAACATTACAAAAAGTTACAAAAATAATAAAATTAGGAAACGATATCAAAAGCGGTCACGAAAATAAGCCCGACTACGGTAGAAATCAGCATCATCGCGAGACCGCAAGCGGCTGATGCTATGTCGACCTTTAAAGAGTAGTTCACCGCTTGATAAACTTGCTCAGCACACGAGGTACTGGTTTGTTCTGCATGTTTGAATCTTGTAGTCTTTTCAGTTCTCCGGCTAAAACCAATATCTGTGATCTCACTTCACTTCGTACGAATCATTCAAGTCCCATTTATAATTGTTTCATTTAGCTTTGAAACGAAGTTATATGTCTGCGCATTTCTGTTGTAGTTAGACAAGAACGAAAGTTCAACACGGATCCAATTCATCACCGTAATCCTAGGCGTGGAATGATGCGTAGTGCGGTGTGGTGTGAGGTTACGGACACCACACCTCAGTCATCGACCTTGTCTGAAAAATGTGCTGCCACTGCCACCATCATGTGAAGGATTTAGGGTAGCTTTGAAGCTTGTATAGCCATTCGTACGGATCAGGCTTGTTTTGCAGCGCTCTTCTGTTTATAAAAAAAAATCCACTCTAGTGCAGCAGTATGTGAGCACTTCGAGCTCTTCCTGTAAACGACGTTAGAATGTTTTCCAACGCAGACTACGTACCATTGGGTGGTGGATTTTCCAGTTTAAAGTCCAAAAAATAAACGTTACAATAAACAAAACAGTTGGGCTATAGCTACGTATTATGTGGTGTTGCTGAGCTCCGCGACAGTGGTGGCTCAAAATGTAAAGGATTAATATGGGGGGAAAACATCAGAAATTAATAAAGAGGCTACTCGTGGCCAAAGATGGATGATCCAAAAACTAACGCTTACACAAATCATATTAAGAAATAACAAGGAGGTCCTTCCGAATTGCCAAGCGTTTTCAAAATGGGTCTTCGCACGACATTTGGGGCAATATGACCCACACGACCGCGGCACTCCCGTCCTATTTTCCTCGAACGGCTCACTGATTACCCTACCGAAAAGGGAGGTCCGTAGTGTGGAGTGACAAGTGTTGCATTGGCGTGGTTGACGTTTCCGAAATTCCCGTCAAAATGGATATGAAACTCTTACTGTATTCCTACTGTATGGGCCTGTTAGAGTCCTTGTGTAGAGGTTCGACGCACCGTGACTTTCCATAACGACGCACAATCATTCTGATTGTCTCATCTATCACATCAGTGAGAGAATCAGGGCACTTCGAGAAGTGGACGAGTTCTCCATGGGCCACAACATAGTAGTATATATTCAGTTGTGTACTTTCACCACGTTATTTTTTTCGTGATCAGTGAATTTTGTTGACACAACTCTTGCCCACCCTGTCCAAGAGAAATGATGCTATATTTTTCCTGTAAAAAGGAAAGAGCTCTTAATATCTCATGAGAAACCTTCACACATGGATCGTGGATATAACTGATGATCTTCATTTATTGATCTCATCTGCATGATGCAAGGCCACAACGTCATATTAGGCGCTGTCCTTAATCGCGTGTGGGTATGGTGGTAGGTGGAGAACATTTTTTCAGGCAGGTCGCTGGCGGATGTGCCCGTGAGCCTACACCCCACCGCCCCACTATCGCATCATTTCCACGCTAAGGATTACTATATTATATCTCTCAACTTTCTTTCTGTTAGTTTAGTGGTACCTCATCTTGTGTGTAAAATTGTTTCATTCAGGATACATATCTTCTCTGTACTACTATTAAAACTCACGCCTATATTGTATTAAAGTGAATTATATATTAGGTTACACTATCACCCCAGGCGCGTTGCATTCAACCACATTATACCAAAATAGTCGAGGAAAGTTTTCGGCACTATTCAACTATTACGACCCCAAAAACTCAAAATTTTATTTTTCGTCGAAACTTCGCCTATAGGGGTAATTCGGTGCCCTGATCACGAAAATGAGGTTCATTTTTGGCGCTGGCGCCATTTGGCGCCAATTGGCGCCAATTTGGCGCCAAGGGTGTTTTCACCAAATTCGCTGTAAACTTGCACATAGGGGTTATTTGAGGGTCCTGATCACGAATATAACATTTATTTTTCCCTCCAACGCCTGTGCGCGCCCTTCGTCGGGGGGTCGCCTCCTTTCTTTGCTCCTCTCCTATTCGCCTGGCTGTCCTCTAGAGTCAGGTATTCTGGAGCTCATCTCTCCTCTCTCTTCTCCGCCCTGCGCGCCTCGTCCCCTGTCGGGCTCCGCCGTACCGCCGCCCCTTGCTGCTGAGTGGGCATCGGGCGGGGCTTTTCCCTCCAACGCCTGTGCGCGCCTGTTTTTCCGCTCGTCTGCGCCTCTCACTGATCACCTCGCGATCGGGACTAAGCCTTTGAGGAGGAGAGTGCTCCGAAGTGAATAACACTTATCCTGTGATCTTATACGCTTTAACGTTTGCCACATGTTGACTGGTTCACCCACCCCGGAGTCCTCCCTCCTTCTAGGCTCAGTCCTAGGTATTATGTACAAGTGAGAGGACCCAGGAGAATGGAAAATGTGCGTTGAACGGTGGAAATGCTAAAAACGAATGACATATCCGTAATCAGGACCCTAAATAACCCCTATGTGCAAGTTTACAGCGAATTTGGTGAAAACACCCTTGGCGCCAAATTGGCGCCAAATGGCGCCAGCGCCAAAAATGAACCTCATTTTCGTGATCAGGGCACCGAATTACCCCTATAGGCGAAGTTTCGACGAAAAATAAAATTTTGAGTTTTTGGGGTCGTAATAGTTGAATAGTGCCGTTTTTCTTTATATTGTCAATTGTTTAATATACTCAGATTACTGAATTTAAAGAACATGCCGGATTCGTTTTTTACGTGTGTCGCTCCTTGGCGAGTTTTGCTCCAAGCGTAAGATTGCGCCAATGTGAGAAACTCATGTCATATTCGTGATTAAAGCCCTGAAAACACTTGTAGGCGAAGGAGGGGGGGGGGGGGGGGGGAATCAGACACTTCCTCGAGATGTGTAATACATAGATGCAGTAGTACCGCCCAAATGATATGAACCATCATCTCACCCCTTCCAGAGCGGGTATGGTTAGACCATACCTCTCAGCAACGAGGGTCAAGCCGCGGCCAGCCTAAACGAAGAGGGGGTTGTATTAGTGATTTTTTGAGGGGGCGGGGGTGGGATGTCGTATTTGGGATTGACGAAAATTTACTAACCATTGGTTTGGAAAGGGTCGTATTTTTAGAAGTTCAGGAAGTAGGGGTCGTGGGGAACGGGTTTTTGAAGTTTTGGAAGGAACTTCAGGAAGGAAGTGTGAGATATAATAGAATTGGAATGTTCGCTGTTTCCTTAGATATACTATTTGATAGGTAATGTGGGCGGATTTGGAGAGTGGTCAATTGGTTCCAGAATCAAATGCCATAGACATGTCATGGTGTAAAGGTGGTGGTCGGGTGGGGTGTGGGGGACTATGTAAAGGTCGGGTCTCACTTTGAAGTTCGGTTTGCAGTTCGAGTGTGAAGAACCTACGTATCGATCACTTGGTCGATGATTAGAGCTGATGGTGGTGATGGGGATCCTATCAAGACTCCCCTAACAATATAGGTCGTTTAGGGTGTGGGGTGCTTTTCAAAAAAGTTTTTTTTTGCATTCTGTGGGGCTACTACTTGGGCTACAAAACGGATTATTTTCGCTGAAAATCAAAAAAGGTCAAGAAAGTTGTTAAGTGGATGAGTTGCACAGCTTTGGAGTGGTGAGACACAGTTTGAGGAGGAGGAGAGGAATCAGAATTAGTGGATAAAAATCAAAGAATGTCACCCTCTCCGCTGTGACACGCCATTGCTATCGAGAACAATCCTACATCTATTCTGGGTCAAGTGAGCAGTATTTATTTAATCTGGGAGGATTAGTATCTCAATATGAACATTATTCGACTTCGTAAGCCATAATATTGACCATACCGTAGGCGATCGAAGCGAGTACTTTCATTCGCTATAAATTCGTCTTTGAACCTCTTTCAACTCTACCTTCTCCATAAAGTTTCATTCTCATAATCTTCCCATTTTATTTAAAGGCAGAATTTACGATGAAAAGTTAGCTCATTGGAAATAAGGGTAGAGGTGGTCAGTGGAGCAGGGATGAAGAAGAAACATTTGAAACGGCCCGAAACCCGAGAAATGGGACCCCTTCCTTGCCCGTTGATTTGCGCATTGATGCGACTCTCATCGCTGTGCCCTCTTCAACACTACGCTCTCTCTGCTATCTAATCACTCGCCACGTATAGACCTGTAGTCGGTGGGCGTACCCCGCCAACCGCGCCAAGAGTGAGCCATGCTAGATCGCCGAGGAAATCTTTCGCTGTCAATTGCGCGTCGATCAGCCCCGCCTATCTTCCAGCTATGCAATTTTCTCTTCTTTGACCTTCGTTCTTATCGTGGATTACTCCTTTAACCCTTTGACGACCGTGTGGCCCGCCGGTGGGCCACACTTCCACTCGGTGGTAATTCGT